TGCGCTCCAAAGTGATTCTCATGAGGTCGTTCTGAAAAATGGGAGTTAGCTCGGGTGGGTTCACAAGCTCATGTAGATGATAACATCGGATTTGTACATGTTTGCACCCTCGTTTCTTGATCATTTTGGCTTGAGTTTCTGCTTTCTTGGACTATTTTACGCTAGGTTGTGTTCCTTTGTCACATTTCAGGTCCTAGCATGTAAATTAAAGCATAGGCGCAAGTTTCAAGTCAATCAGAGATCAGTTGGCAATTCGGGAGAAGAAACACGAGCATGACCTGAGGAATAATGGACTTCTACCTCATATTATGGACAAATAATCATGGAATTTTGTCATGAAAAGAAAGATGACGAGACTACGAGCGTCTGGGATCAAACGACGACTGATTCGGAGTCCGGACGAGGGAGAAACGAAGCATTAAACAGAGGCTGAGCAAGCCACACGGGCAAGCTTGGAGATGGAGATTGAAGATCTAGATCAGATTCTGCAATCTCTCTCTTCTCTATGGAGTAACTTCCCTTCACTTAGATTTTGAGGAACCCTAGTTCCATGTGTTAGGATCTTTCTTGTATGAAGTTTTGGATGCTATATTGTTTGATTATAATCGATTGAGGCATGATTTATTGAGTCAATTGAATCTTGATCAAATTCTCTTGATTTCTGCTTTAACCTATGATAGATAGAATCTGATTAGGTTAAGAGAGCTTCCTTGATTGATAGTGGTGAATTGGTTGTGCGAGAGTCAATCAATTCACTGCTTTGTACTGGAATTCATTCCAGTAGTGGAGTTCTGTGTTCATAGCCTCAGCTTTCTATCCTGGTGAAGACTAGTCGTCTGCCGAGTAGTTGGAGTGAGAGGGCTTGGTCAGCTTAAGAGATTCCAAGCTAATTTAGGATCTTCCGCAGTTTAATCAACAGTAGATCAACCAAAGGTAATTGCAACTTGGACCTAATTGAGGAGCTAAGGGGAATCATACCTAAGTGAATTCCCAACTTGTAATTAGTAGAGTAGTCAGTATAGTAGTTTATAAATCAATCCTTAATCTAGTTTGCTAGATAATGAACTGAAGCTGAGTAATAGTAACTCTAGAGACCCGTGGATTCGATATTTATTATTTGTGCCACTATACTGCAGTCCCTTTCATTGGTTACACTTGGCCATTGTTAGGTGTTGTGTTTTAGCGAGTCAAGTTTTTGGCGCCGTTGCCAGGGACTTTCTAGATTATTAGGAAAGGCAGAAGTTTGTTACTTTAGCGTTTTTCTTTTGTGTTTCGCCCTTCCTTTTTCACTTGGGTGTTTTTTGTTTTTGTTGGTGTAGATCTGAATCATGGACCCTCATGGCTTCTCCAATCATTGGGTGTATCCACCACCATCCGAGTGGTATTACCCCGAGACTCCCTGGAGTAACCAAGGAGCAGAAGACTATGGAGTTGGGTTTCAGTACCAACCCCCCTACTACGAAGAACAATCAGAACCCTGGGTATTTCAAGACCAATCTCCTTATCAAGAAGAATTCCTCCCACAACAAGAAGGGCCATCAGATCTTGAGTTCGCCACAGCCTTCACGGGCGATCCGGTAGAGCCATGCTACAATCCACAGCTAGATCCAAACTATCACTTGAGCCTTCTCGTGGAGCAGATTGCTCGAGTACCTGAGAGATCTTTTTCCGAGATGGATCCTCATATCCAGGCAATTGCCCAAACTGACTTCTCTTTTCCCCGTGAAATAGAGGATACCCTTCGGAGCATAAAGAAGCACATAGAGGTCATTGAGAAAGCCTGTTCACAGTTTTCTCAAGACAACCTTTATGCTGCCATACAAGTAGAGGTGGAGGAAGAAGAAGGCAATCGTGAGGATGTTGAGGAGCATACAGAAGTTGTCAAGGAAAGCTCCCATGATAATCATGCTCAAGTGTATCCTCTTGTGGTAGATCACAACTTTCCCCATTTCCGCTCTGACATGCTGGGCCTGAGCGAGGAGATGCAAGCTGAACTTATTGAGAACCTTGCATGGCGACTTGCTCTCCAATCAGTTTTGGAAGAAGAAGAGAGAGAAAGGGTGAGGAAAGAAGTTGTGGAGAATGAGGAAGAAAGCAAAGAAGAGATAGTTCTTGATCTTTTCCGAGGAGAGACACCACATTTTGAAGAAGGAAGGGGGGTTGAAGAAGCGAGTGGTGTCCAGGCTGAGGATGAAGTTGAGGTGGAAGAGGCTTGCACCGGCCCTATAATACAAGTAATATCCCCACCAAACTTCGAGGAACTGCTTAGCAAGAACCCATTTGCAATGTCTCTTTGTCAAACAATCATCAAAATTCTGGTTGTTTTGTGTATTTCGAAAGTTTTGGATATAACTGTTACAAACGTGAAAGTTATGTATATGGAAGTGTATTTTTTCTTAGATTTATGATGAAACTTCATCTTCATTTTTTTATATTATTATGACTATAGTTAGACCATATTTATGAGTTGAATGTATCCGTGAGTTGTGAACAAATAATAGTGGTAATATTGTAAGCTAAATGATGCGTTTGATTTATGGACTAAACATTATTTAGTTTAATATTTTTTTGGCATCTTATGTTTTGAACGATATGAATTATGTGACATTGTGGAATGTATGTTGTAAACCCACCGAACCCATCCAACCACTCATCATCAGCAATCACCTAACCCAACTCACCCACAAGTATAGGGCTGGAAATCCGGTCCAGGTTTTCCGGTCAAACTAGAAACCGACCAATTTAAACCGTCTCGGTTGTAACCGGAAACCGGATTTCAATCAACCCAATCCAGTTTGCGGTTGGAGTGGTCACAGCCCGGTCCAATCCTGTTAAAACCGGGAAAACCGGATAGCCCATTAGCTCATCTCATTTCTCCAGCCAGCCCACCTCCCTCAACAACTTAGGCCCGGGCCCAACTACAGGTCATGCCAACCCTGCTCAAATCCCCAAAGCCCAACTCCACAACCCTAAATCTTCTTCCCTTCTCTCCTATCTATTCCTAGCGGCAAAGCCAAAAGCAAACATCACCCTCCCATCTCCCAAATCCCACTCTGCCGTCAACACCCTAAGGCCTCAACCCAGGCATGCAAAAATGTAAACACACAAATCCAATCCTCCCTCTCTCTTCTCACTTTGTTCTTTAATCTCACTCACCCTCTCTGCTTGCCTCTCATCCGACTCCGTAGCGGCGGCGGCGGCTGCGAGACGACTGATTTGGAGTGGCCGCAACTCTTCCTTTCTCTTCTCCGTCTCACTAGCTAATTTGAAGCGGCCATTGCTCTGCTTCTCTCCCACATCGAAACATGCATGACCCGCCTCCCTCTGGATCTCTCCTATATCAAAACATGCAAGACCCGTATCCGTTTGGATTCCTCAGTATCTTTGTGGTTTAAGATTTAAGAAGGAACAATGATAGGGAAGGTATGGGATTTGGGTTTCTTTGTGGGTAAAGATTTAAGAATGAACAAGGGATAGAGGAGGGTTGGGACTTCCCAGAAAAAGAAGAGAGAAAAAGCAGATAGAAGGTAATTGGAAGGAGTGATCGAAAGAATGAGAGAGAAGGAAGATTATGACCGTGAGGGTTGGGGGTTAGTGATTTTTTTTATATTAAATTGAGTGGGTTTGCCTTCCAAACGTTTTCCGGTTAAAACCGGGTCAATCCAGTCCGATTTTGGTTAAAACCGGATTCAATCCAATTCCGTCTTCGGTGGGGGTATTGGTCAAAACGGTTTCAGAAAACCGGTTAATCCAGTCCAGTTTTAACCGGACCGGATTGTTTTCCACCCCTAGACATGTACATGCATTGGTGGGTGTGGGTCAATTATCCTTCATCCACCACATAATGGAAGGTTCGGTTGTCAACCCGCGGGCTGACCCGGACCCTATCGAGTTAGTGGGTCAAGGGTTAATGTGTCACCCGTTTTAGCCCGAAAATATGGAAATAGTCATTATATTTACTTATCCTGATAAATTATATAAAATCTCATCTAACATATGAGTTATAACATATAATATTACACCAAAATAACACGTTGTAATTAGATCTAACATATAGTGAAAATTCACACACTTATATAACATCAATATTCAAGTGTTCAAGATAGGATTCCAAAGATTGAGTTAGGCGAAAAGAAAAATCGAAAAATAGGCGCATTTCACAAACCAAAGAAAAAAACGACACAATTTGACATTCAACCCGGTACCTTGTAGAGGTCGAGCCGACGGGTGCGTGCGACCCGTTTTTCTCACCAGGTTAGGATCGAAGTGGATCGACCCAAAAATCAACCCGCAGGTTGACAACTTAGATGGTTCCAAATCCACTCAAATCGGCATAAAATCACTTATTGCCCACTCCTAATTGAGAGAAGTGATTCACGTGAGAGTTGAAGAATGTAAGAATAAGGAAATTTTGAATGAAAATTTTGTCTGGGAAAAAAGAAAGTAAGGAGGTGAAAAATGAAATAAAAATTTGTTATAGTTGTAGCAATTCATTGTACAAATATTTAATAATCTAATCATACCCACAAAAAATAGTACTTTTCACCCTCCTAGAAGACAAGATAAAGAAGAAGAAGAAGAAAAATCTCAAAGCTCCCACTTGCACCTTACGTGTTCAACCCCCTTCAACTTCAGCCACGAGACAAATATATAGAGTAAATTTTAAAATCTACAATTTTTGCTCACCAGTCGATCGAATTACCCCGTCGGTAAAGGAGTCGAATTGACACATTTCTGTTAGGGACGTTTAGGACATGGAAGTCCGTTAACAAACAGAAGAAGGAAATTGTCAATTGGGGGGAGTCATAAATTTGCACTGTTGTTTTCCTCCCCCAAACTGAAAGCAAAGATCCCCAACTTGGTGGGCAATGCATATTTTTGGAACCTACTATTTCAATGTGATTGGGAACTTCACACTTTCGTCGTCCCATGATGCGTCACCAAAGCTTCCAAACAAATAGCTAGCCACCAAATCCACGGCGGGGAGGGAGAGGGGAGTCATGAAATCTCCTCTGGCATTGGGCCTAACGACAATTTCCCCCCATTAAGGAAAATGGGCCCGGAGTGGGCCAGTTTGACCCTGGACCCATCTCCCGCTGCCACCTGCAGCCACCACCATGCACCGCCGGCCGGACAGGCGCAGAGAGTCTCAGCCGGCCAGAAACAGAGCACTCAATCACTCACGCACCGAGCCACTGTACAAGATTTCTGTTGTGTTTCCCTCGTGACCGAAAATGGAGGGAACCGCTTTGCACGCTTTGGCATATTGTTTGTATCATTAACTTGTGTGTTTTGTTCCTATTCGGATTATATTTTGAGCGAGTATTTAGTCATTGATGTTTATCTCCTAACAGACGCGATTGTGAGAGACAAGTCTCAGGGCTAGCTAGCTTTGCACTTGGCGGAGGATACGGTCAATCTTTATGTCCAATTTTATTTGTTTCTTTGCTTGCATCTTTTAACCCTTTTTTTTTTTTAAGTTGTCAATGTTAAATCGTTGTATTGTAATGAATCACAATAATGTAAATACATGTATTGGTACAATAGATTCATTTCAATAATACATTGTTTGATTGATGAGATTCTACTTTATGTAATGACTTGCATAAAGTTACTTTATGAGAAAACGTCACATTTACCCTCAACTATTAGTATAAGACACAAATTAATAAGGACATAAATGGAAAGAAATAGTGGACAAAAATCTAAAATCAACAATTAGGGATGACAATGGGTCGGGTTGGGACGGGTTTTATCAAACCCAAACCCGTGGGTTTATCCGCCAAAAAAACCCAGGATAAAACCCGTTGGGTTTGAAAAACTCAAACACAACCCAACCCGCTGGGTATCCGCGGGTTCATGGGTACCCGTGGGTTTTTGTGGTAAAAAATTTACAATAACTAGTTTCTTTCAAAATAAAAGTTTAACATCAATTTTCTCATACAAATTAATCATACAAAAAACACCAAACTAGGGCATACAAGCAAACCGCAAATGATCAATACAAATTGTTCAAATTTAAAGATAAACATCTATAAATAATAAGATTAATTGAAAGCTTCTTCCTCGTCAACTAAATTTCTTCACTCTCCACTTCATAATATCAACTTCATTCTAAACAATTAAAAAGAACAAATTATACATGTCTCCACAAACATAAAGAATATTAGTTATTTAAGGAAGATATATTATTTAGAATATTAAATATACCGGGAAAATAATTATATGTATGTGGGCGGGTACCCATGGGGCGGGTTTACCTAAACCCAAACCCAACCCGACCCGGTGAATAGTATAGCGGGTTTAAACCCGAACCTGGCCCAAAACCCGTCAACACGGATTTTACACGCGTTGACCGGGTTGGGTCGGGTGGGTACCCGTGGGTTCGGGTTTTGTTGTCATCCCTATCAACAATCACAACAATCTCAAGTTTTATAGTTTTTTTTTTATATAGAATCTCAAGTTTTAGTTGAGATTGTATAATACATCATTTTTTGTGATTGTTGGTGGGACCTACCTAAAACAATACATGCATTATTTTACATTTTGACACTTTCAAATATTGTATTATGCACAAGGCATATATTCAATAAATACAACTCTATTATTCTAACAATTATAGCTACCAAACGATCCTTAGTTTATGTTTGGAGTTTGGAAAGCGAGGACGAGCATGATAATGGCGGTCAGCTTGGGGCGGGGATTCCAAATCCCTTCTCTGTTCACGGGGGTACGCCTTCTCTACTCAAATTATGATTTTGGGTTGGGTAGGACACATGTGAGTTCAGGTTGATTTGCCATACCTAAGAAACTAGCTAGGTTGGACGAAATTTCCCAGTTACATTTCATTGTCATCTGACTAGGGATAATATAAGATATATTATTTTACCCAATTTAATAATCTAACTTATTCAAACAGACTAGTTCATAAAATAATGTGAATACTTTCGATTGAAATGCTCGCTTTCAAAATTTTCACAAATTTAAAGTTATTGGAATGAATAATTATTCCTTAATATTAGATACATCTATTTAAATCGGCTAAATTACACGTTTGGTCACTCAAATTATATAAATATTTCATGTTTGCCACCCAAATCACTTTCCTTTCATATTAACCACTAACTTTACGATTCGTTCCACTGTTAGTCACCCTCCATTAACGCCGTCAAATTTTTGATGACGCGGCAAACGAAACTGTTGACAGTATCGTTAACTTAATGACATGTCACTTTAAAAAAAATGTTTACTTTGACCGACGATCAAAAGGCGGTTAAAGTTCTTCTCCGCCATGGCGGGGTGGACCATCAACTCCGTTATCGAAACTTCCCCCTGCTCCCTAACCCTGCACGCCGGCTTCTCCATTTGCCCCGCCACCGTTTTTCTTCTTACCACCGCTACCTCCGTTGTTCTGGCCTTCCTTGTCCCCATCGTCGTGGTCACCAGAGCCTGCTGGTTAGGTTATCACTTATCATCATTGCCCCATTTCAAACAAGTTAATTAGTAATTACCATCGATTTCAATTTCAATTTCAATTGGAGTTAAAACGAAGCTATTGAGTGAATCAATACATCCAGTTCCTGAATTAATTCATCGATTCAAATAAAGGGCATTGACGGGATAAGGCCATGGAGGGAGTTTCATTTGAATGAACACTGAGACAGAGCATGCAAAAATACACCCCCCACCGCCGTTCTTCTTCTCGCCACTCTCTTGATTCTGCTAGTTGGGTTCTTCTCCTACCTCTCCTTCTCGCCGCCACCATCCCCGCCGCCGCAATTTTTCTCCTCGTGCTGCTCCTTCACCTCTCCGCCACTTCCATTGTTTGGATTCAGCTACTGGTTATTGTTCATGCCGCCACCACCATTGATATTGTTCTTCTTCTTTTGCGGAGGAACTCAGGGAGTGAGAAGAAAGGAGAAGGCGCAGGTGAATGGGTATTAAAATACCCAAAGAGCGTGAAGAAAGAAGAAGGTGAAAGTTGATTATTTTTTATTTTTTTTAAAATTGACATGTCATTAAGTTAACGGTCTAGTCAGCACTTTCGTTTGTCACATCATAGAAAACTGACGGAGTTAACGGAGTTTGACGGTCGGTGATTAACGGTGAAACAATTCGTAAAGTAAGTGGCGAATAAGAAATAAAAGTAATTCGAGTGACAAACGTGAAATATTTATATAATTTGAGTGACCAAACGTGTAATTTTTAGCCATTTAAATCCTGATACATGCTCAGCTCCTCTTCTCATTATAATGAGATATATCATGACATATTGATATTATATTATATATTTATATGCAAGAAATATAGTATGAAAACTGAAGGGTACTACTATTTGTTTATAAAGCACAACAGAACGAAACCAAAAAATAAAGACAATACACCGATTTATGTGGTTTCCCCGATATCAGGATTAGTCCACGGGAGAGTTAGAACTCTCCGAGCTACATGATTTTTATTAGGGTTTCTTAGTCTTTGTCATGAAATTTGTAGCCATATATGTACTACACACCTCCCTTTGACACCCTACCGTCGACGACAATGTTGCCAGAACCGAACCGGAGCATGACCCGGTAATGCGAATGGTTTGCACCTTAGTGGTCCAACCGGCATTTGACCGTTTAAAAACCGTTAGCGAACCGGTACCTAATAAACATTATCATTATAAATAGTGAACATTTCTTAATCAGAGCTCGTCTCTTTCCTTCGAAATTGTGAAATGGAAATAAAGATTCAGTTTGAGAGCCCGACGTTTTTGGTTTATTTCAATTTTTAATTTTCTGCAATTCTTTTAATTAAATTTAACAGTTGAATGGCAAAAACCGGACGAGCGGCTCGAGCGGTTAACCGCATCGGCCGCTCGTCAACCGCTACATAAAACCGGAGCGGCTTTTAGACTGTTCCGAGCCGGTTTAGTGACCGGGTGCCGGTTTTACCGGTCATGCCGAGCTGCTCGGCTTGGCTTTAATAACACTGGTCGACGGCCCAAACACTACTATACAAACTGAACAGGGCTAAGGAAATACACAGGCCCAAACACACTAGCCACAATGGGCCTAACACGCTAATAGCCCCCCTCCCCACACACACAAAAATTGATGACTCTACAAAACATCAATTTGCTAGAGAGGAACCAATATCAAGAGCGAGTCAAAGGTTTGTTGTACAAATCAGGCGATTGGTCTTCTGACATAACATATTGTAGACGAACAACACCATCACGAACAAGGTCACGAACATAATGCACATGAATCTCGATATGCTTGGTACGATTATGGAGAACGAGATTAACCGCAAAACTAGTCGCACTCATGTTGTCCACATAAAGAGCCATCGGAGAACGACAATGAACACCCAAGTTAGCGAAACAACCTCTGTATCCAACGAAGCTCAAAACCAAAAACAAAAAAAAAATGCACGATTTTTCGCCTCCGTAGATGATTTAGACACTTTACCATGATTCTTACAACGCAGTTGACAAAAGCATTGCCCAAGAGTACACACCACCTCGTCATGGAATGCCTCGTACCCACACAACCTTCAAAGTTGGGGTCAGAGTATAATTGGACAGAAAACTGACCAGTAGATGGACGAAAAATATCAACATTATGAGTCTCATTCAAGTAGCGAATGCAATACACCACAGACAAATGATCAAGTAGAGAGTCATCCATAAACTAACTAACAACCTGAACTGCATAGGACATATCCAGGCAAGTAGAAGTCAAATGGATCAAGTCGGCCACAAAATGCCAATACTAAGACAAATTATCAACATGAGTAGATGAATCCTTGCCCAACTTCGTATTAGCTTCCATGGGAGTTAAAACTGAAACACAATCGGCAAAGTTCTCGGAAGACAACAAATAACATATGTACTTCTTCTGACCTAGTAAGATATGACCAGGAGAACGAGTGATCTTGAGCCTCAAGAAGAAAGATAAAAAAATTTATCACCAGAAATGAGTATAGCATCCACGTACAACAGTAGGACAATGGTCCCAACATGAGATGTATGAGTAAAGAGCGACAGAACTTTGAGACTCTACTGAAAATCTAGCCCCAAGATCCCTACTGAAATTTCTGAAACCAGGCCGCTTGATACCATACAAAGAACGACACAGTAGGAAAATAGAAGGAGACATAGCTCCACTTCCATGCTTGCAATATATCAGCCCAAATATGTTGCAAACTTGCATCTCATCGTCTTTTCCTTAGCACATGTGATTGGGCCTTTGATGCCCTCATCAACAACAAAATAGAAGGAGACATAGACGCATCGTAAAAATACATCATATGAAATACAGACACACTGAAGCACAGGATCATAACAAAGATAATCCTTGTGAATATCACTATAACCAAGGAAGACAAAACAAGTAGTTTTGACGATATGCTTTGTATGTTTT